CTGACTAGTTCACAGTCACCTTGTCTGTCATGAATTTATATTTATTTGATTAGGATGCTTTCATATTCTTTTCTTTCCTCACAGTTTTACACATTGGTAATTCATGCTTTCTGTGTTTTTCATGTTTTTCCACAGGAAAAGAAAACGTGAGAGCCAGGAGGAGCTTGAAACTCCTGACTGTGTAGCCGTCAACACCCTCATGGAAAAGAGGGTATGTGTCTTTGCTCTGTAGGTCTGAGACTCAGTGTCATGCAAACTTCATCAGACAGTGTCTGAGACCACACTTCTAAAACCTTCCACTATAATTCTTGACATGATAGTAAGGAGATTTTACTTATTTTCACTTTACAAGAGAACAAATCTAAATTCACTACGGGAGGTGTCAATACAGGACTTGTGTCTACTCATGCAGATCTGTGTGGATTATGCCTATTTGTGAACTGGTCAGCCACATGTTGTGTGTTGTTTGCACTGACAGCATGTTGTTGTGTCTTCACAGCGGAGGTAGCTGTCAGAGGACAAGCAGGAGAAATATAATCATGACGTAAAGAGGCTGAGGCAGCTTCACAACCACATCTACCCAGATTGGTCAGCAAAGGAAAATGATGTATGTACACTGCTCACATACAACTCACGCATGTTCACATCATTACACTAAATGGTGCAACACGGCCACTGCAAGGAGTTTTTATCAGCTGATATGAGATGGAACGTCTGAAGTGTTTGTTTTTGTGTACAGGGCCAAAAGTGGAAAAGGATCAGGAAGAGGCTCCAGAGATGACTGAGGGTACGTTAATAATCATGTGGATAAGTGCCCACATTGCATATATCTAACTTTTGAAATTAAGTTGCATTAATCATTGACTATTTGTACATTTAGTAATAATGAATATCAAACATAAAAAACAAACGATAAGGTTCAAAAGCTTCTTTTATCTAAAACCTATTAGAAGAGGTCAGAACTTGTCAGAAACGTATTTTTTCTTGTCCTGTTTGATCATAGTGTTAAAAGTATTAACCAATACAAGTTTGAGAAGTAGCATGAAAGTATTTTCATAAAGTGTCTCAGACCTGATCAATTTCTTTCACTTCTCTCCAGGAAGCATCTTCGCCACTGCATGATGACATGTCCATGGGACAATTCTAACTGAGCAGTTTGATCCCTCCTCTCCCCACTGCACATATTCCCCTGATGTCTCCTCCTATTTTTGTACCTTTTTTTTTTGAGAACTTTATTTATATTCATTTTCCAGGTTACAGAACAGTGAACATATGACAACAAATCGGAGCTGCTCTGCCTCTCTGGAACTCCCACAATCCTGATATTATTCCTCCTTGCTCTCGCTTCCAAGTCCTCACATTTATTTTTTAATGACTCCGACAGCGTCTGGAGTTGTCTGACCTCGCGTTGTAACGTGACGATGTCGTCTGCGACAGGCTCTTCCCCATTTTGGACGTGGCTCTTTAGCAATTGAGCTCTGGTAGGATTGCAGTTCAGTTTTTACTGTGTTTATGTCTCCTCGGAGCCCCGCCAGCTCTTTCTTCAGCATCTCTCTGATCTCCAGCTTGATAATACACCCGATGTCCTCACGCAGCCACGCAAGTAACTTCCGCCTGAAAGTTTCCGCGGCTAGTACTGAGGCCATGTCTGGGTCAACACTCCTGCAAGGTGATGTGCCAGAGGCGCTGGGCCTCAGTAAAGTTGGGGCGGTGTTGCTGCTTTTTTGTCACATTTTCTCACACAGATGTTTGCAGAAATGTCTAACTAAACGTTAATAAATAAAAGAAACAACAGTTTTCTCCGATAAGTGCTATTTGAATGTTTTTTTACAAAAAGGTTCTGGAGAGCCTCGACACACACACACGTAACTCCTTAGCCTGCTCACTAGTGCCTCCATTTTTGTAACTTTTAATTATAATATCGTATATTTATTTTTACAAAAGATCCCTTTTGTCTAATCCTGTTCTCTCCTTCTCTCCTCCCCCTTTGTATAGACTGCCCGTCGCTAATGGAGCGAACCCTGCAAGCTAGTTCAGGCAGCCAACTTGAGCTGTGCTGCTCCTTTCACTGATCCACCGTGCTGCCCGCTGAGTTACATAAAAACAACCACATTCATGTTTTTCTGACTGTGATGGCTTTGATGAGATACTGGAGAACAGACTTCAAAATGTTCAAAATGTACAATGGTCTCTGAAATTATTGTATTTGCTGAAAAATAATTAAAATACCTGTGGATAATCTCATGTCCCTGTATTTCTTCATTCAAATACTATATAGAGACAAACACTCACAAACAAAAGTAATTAAAGACAGACACAGATTGAAGTTTTTATCTGTTTGTTTTATACATGATGCAGCAGCAGTGCTTGAGTGAACACAAGTGTTTCATCTTCATCATATGTTTGGGTTGATAATCTTGCCAACGAAGAGGGTGTCTTCTGTGACACGGTCAGTGATGACAACCATAAACGGACGATTGAACATCAGGATAGGGGTGTGGTGGAAAGACATGGGCATTATTTTGATGCCTGTAGCAGCGGTAGCAGTGGCTCCGACTTCGTCCACATCCAGGGTGGCTTTGTGCACAACCTTCATGGGGTAGAATAGAGGCAGAGTGAGATAGCAGGTGGATGAAATGCTGGGGAAAAAAATGAATGCAATAACATACAGTATACTCTCTGCCCTGACCTCTGATACTACCAGTTTTTTCCCCACTGCGATGCCACTCAGGTCTGCACGTTCATTGAACATGTCCGTCATTCCCATTTCAATCAACACGTCATTCAGCATGTAGGAAGTCTTGATGGAGAACTTTGGAACATGTATGTTATATCTCCTAAAATAATAGCAAATAGACAAACATACAGTGATTGATCTGACTGTGAAAATTGATCAGAAGGACAAAAACACAAAAATGTAGGATGACTTTAGGATGAGTTCTCCCAACCTGGACTTCATCCACTTCAGCCATTTGGTGACAAATCCTGGGCAGATGGCCTTCTCCAGTGTTGCCATATCGTCAGGCAACAGCAGCAGCATGGAGGAGGAGCTGTTGAAGGGAAGGTGGAGGACTGTTGTGTTGATGTTTTGGTCGTGATAGATGTCTACGTCCTCCTTCATATTCATCATCTCAACTGGAACCTGGGAAGTTACAGTTTTAAACATGAAGCATCCAATAATTTGAAATATCCAGTAGATATGTGACTCATGTCCATTCAGAATAAACTTTAAACCTTGGTATTCTCATCCACCATGAACTCATCCTTCTTGGTCAGCTCAGGATTAAATGAAGTATCCCAGTTTCCTGTTTGATGAGGAGAAATAAATCACAGTTTACGACAGATATGTCAGGTTGTGAATTCAGAAATACAGAGGCTGTGTCTCAGTTCAGGGGCCGCATGCTTCGGAAGCTGCATTTTTAGAATAATTATGTCCCAAAAAGGACATCGACCGCTGAATTGAGACATAACTAGGGACTAACCAGACATTGTTTAATGTGACTTTTTACCTTTAAAGTAGATGTAACTGATGAGAAACATGATTGTGTCTGCATTCAGGTTGTCCACCAGGTTGTCTATCTTCCCGTTAGTCTTCTCGGCCACATAGCGGTTGATGGTATTGCTACTTTCTACGGTGTTGGTAAAGTTAACATTAAACCCTTCTGTGAAGTAGGACTTGTTCAAAACATCCAGGAATTCCGGATGTGGTGTGAAGTCGTGATCCACAAACAAAGCAGTGCCTTCGTTGGTGTCTTTTTGAGACATCTTGTTTGCCCGGTCCAGGAGTGCGTGGAATGCCTCATCCACATTTGCCTGTGTCAGCTCGGAGCTGTTGAAACCCAGACCGCTGAAAAGCTGCTGATGGGTCTCCCCCCGCGCTCCTACAGACAAGGCCGCCAGTGCCACAGACACACTCTTTGGCGAGAAGAAGATGTTCTTGCCTTGGGAGTCGGTGTGAGCAGCCAGCTTCCTGTACAGATGGTAGGTAAACTCTTTGTTTGCTGAGGACACCAGCGAGAGGCTGTTGAGAGCAGTGGCTTGGTGTGTATGATCTTCGTCAGTATCATGGCGATCGCTTCTTCCCACGCAGACCAGTGCTGATAAGATCCCGATACACAAGGCTGCACGCATCATGATGAACTATGAGGAAGGTGCACCAGTAAAACACTGTTTATTCGGGTTACATAATGTTTGCAGGAACAAACACTCAACAAACATGAGCTAAATATGTTGTGAGCATATCAGAGTTATTTTCTCAATCGTACTGTTATATTATGAGTTATGAGCTCTGACAAAAACACACTATTTCTTCACAGTTTGAACAATTTTCTACAAGATTTCTGTATTTCTTCTGTTTTCTCTTCTCACTGCTTTGAAATGGGCAGAAGATGCTAATTAAATCTAATTCTTAGATGTGATTATTTAATGTAATTGAAGAAATACTTAACATAAGAACATTTTAAAGGGCTATAATTTAGAATTCCAACAGGCATACAACAGCTCAATAATTTTGTAGGATAAGGTTGTTTTTTGTTGCATAAAATAAATCAAGTCAGGATTTATATTTACTGCTTTATATTTATATCTATTTACACAGACAACTGTGTTTCATCAAAAATCGAAGTGTACATCTCATCTCAAGCAGTTAAAACTGTTAATAAAACTGTATATAAAATTGTATGTGAAAAAGTGTGGTTAAAATAAAGAATGTGAGTTTTCTAACCACTTACCTTCTTCTGGTAGCAGCTCACAGTAACTCTCTGTGCTGTCTGGACAGAGGGAGATGTCCCACATAAAACTGAGCAAAGCAGATGAACTTTGGCTTTGTGTATTCTCCGCTGTATTTGCTCTGTGTAATGATTACTGTCTTACCATGGCATCAAACTAAGACAGCACTGCTTGTGTCAAGTAGCCAGCATGTACAGAAATGTGTGATCAATAGAGTCTCTTGCCCATAGTGTGCACATGACAGTAAAAACCAATTGAAGGTTTTTGTTTGTAAGAAGTGCTGATAAATGAAACAAACATTCCCCAAAAGCTGCACCAGATCCCATTTTTACTGTTAAACTTGAATCAACATTTACAAACTGACTGAATATAAATATTTTCACCTTAAAGTTCATAGAAATTAGAACATGATCCTGGAATGGATCAGACGCTGCAAGTCTGAGACTCTAAAACATTTATAAATCCACATAATGACATCATTGTTTCTCATAATGGAGCCATCTTTGTCCTTAGGTTGTGGAACCACGACAGCTGAGCAGCATTCAGGGATGCGTGCCAAACAGCTGACCATCTAGTTCGATGAGCTGTCTGAGGAATCCTCGATTAGGGCTCACACCACGTTTATCTTTCACAGCACAAATAGCCTCCACAAGCGTCAGGTTCTGCTTCAGCATCAGGTACGCAAGGACCAGAGTGGCAGAGCGGCTCACCCCGACGTGACAGTGCACCAGCACTTTGTCTGAAAATCACAGAGACATTGCATCACAGCATTATTTAAACAAACACTAAACTAAACTAAGTATGTTTTTTCTACTTCCCTACCTCCCCTGCTGAGAGCCCTGTGAATAAAGTCTGCTGCTGTGGCGAAGTTGACACTCATGTCAAAGCCACAGGAGTCATGAGCCTCTATGCCCTTGTATGTGATCTTCATGCCCCTGTAGATTCCTGGCTGTCCTCCACGCTTACTGTGAGCTGCATTCAGGATGTGTGTGATCTGATGCTTGGACAGATCAGCCGTGTTCTCTGCACTGTGCCTGAAAAACACACAACACTGTGCAATCACCGACAGTATCTCGCAATGAAGCAGGTGTTGCCTGGTGAAACATTTGTATGCAATGCATTTCAACGTGATGGATTGATATTTGGAATCCAACATCAGATATGCGAGTTAGTGCGTAGCTGACACCTGAGACACACTTTCGTGCCCAGGCATCAGTGGAACCTCTCACACATGATAGCTGTAGTTTATGCCGGTTCCCAATGTGGAATGCAGCATCAGGGATCTTAACTTACACATCTGTATTAAATGATTTATGATCAGGTCAAAGCTGTCACATATACTTCAGTAATACTTGTGAAAAAAGGCTCACTCTTCTCTCTCATGAATAATATTTGGAAAGTTAAAAAGCCCTTTGCAGTCAGGCAAGAAAGAATTGATCGAGGTACTTACTGGTCACCAATGTAGAGCCTTGGCCAGACTTCATCTGCGTGACTCATAATGGCTTTGCCAGTAAACAAGAGTCTTTCCAACTCGACCACCGCAAGTCCAGGTGAGCTCAGGTCGATCTCCACTTTCCGAGGAGGAGGCTCATCATTCCAGGATGCAGGGAGTTTTGTTGTATAGGACATTTCTCTTTCCAGACTTCTGATGTGAAACTGAATGCAGCTCTATCGTTTCCAAATGAGTCCAATAAATACAATTTTTTTTTTTTTAAAGGGGAAAAACTCTTATGGCTTCACAGTGAGAGCTGAGCAAGTTCTCCACAACCTCTAGAGCAGAATGACCGCCACAGGTGATTTTTAGTTCCAGACTTCCTTGCCTCAGATTTACTCACCACGGGGCGTCAGAAACGTGGTCAGGCCATTTGACCCCCACATTAAATCTAGCTTGTGTGCCTCGAGCCCTCAGAGGTCTGTGTTATGCTTTTGCATCAAAATAGCTGTCTATTTAAAGATCTGAATGTCAGCCTGCAGTTGCAGGGAGAGTGGACCTCAGCAACAGTTTCACCTGACCAACATATAACAATAATATATGATGTTTCTGGTTGTTCAAAACAGAAATATATTGTTTATGGTACCACAATCCAGAGAGAGCAAAAAATAACAGCGAAAAAGATAAACTGGATACACAGCTAAGGGTTTTAACGAAAAATTATGGCAGAGATAAAATACTGGAGTACTCAACTAATCAGGTATGTTTAGTGCTGCAAGCCGCACCCAAAGGTTTCGGTACAACCGAGTACAACCCCCAGAACAGGAACTTATTTTTTTTTTGGGGGGGGGGGGTTTACCCTGAACTTTATTTAGACCCTGGTCCCCTGCAGTGGAAACACAAGTTTCCTGGCTCCAGTGGAAAGTTTCTGGGGTGGAATTTTACTCTGTTAACTTAACAAAGTCAGAGCAAAAACATAAAATACATTTGATCCTGTGGTAAAAATATATACATTTAATTATTTCAGTTTTTTCCTCACCTGTGATAACTTTGATATCCATCAGGCAAACATGCCCATCATGGGTTGGACACATGCATTACATCTGAGACTGTACAGTTGTGCTCCATCTAAACAGAGCAGCACATGGAAATCAACACATATGACAGAAGTTTCTTTCATGCAAATCTTATCATCTGTTTTTATTTTTTTCTAATGATATAAAACCATCCCCTGAAATATGGCACTCTTTTTTTTTCTAAATCAACACGGGAGGTATGATTGAGGAAAAAAAATACCAGTGCTACACAAGACAATGGATTGTGGTGCAAAGTTAAAGGATTTCATTGCTAGAGGAAACAGAATGTAAAGCGCTTATCAGATTGCTGTGACTGAAATTGTCCTTTACACAAAGCAATACTAAGTACATAGTTTCCTTAACTGATTGAACACTTCTGAAAAAATAAATCAATTTCTAAATCCTATGTATATAAGTGTTCAAAAGGGGGGGATAACACAATTCAACAGCGTTTCAAGTAATTCTTAATCATGTCCTTATGGATCTGCTATAACAATAGTGAAATACATGAGGTCTGATTCAACATCTGCATTTAGAAAGCAGTTTCATCCAAAACATGGATAAAATGGGGACAGTAATCTTCAGGGGCTTTTCAATAGCCTGCCACTCTCTACGTCCAATCATGAGCTCGGAGATGTCAGGACTGTATCAAGTGCTTATCTGACATTACAATGCATGCGGGGCTGGGAGCTGAAAGGAAAAGCATTGCACCTATTCCTGCAGACATGTGAAGGAGCAACTAAGCGTATGGACCCTATCAGGGGTAAGGACAATTTCATGCAAATGGTCTGAGAGACATAATGATGGACACAGCTGAGGAAGTGCAAGTGTTCAGGATCAGAATAAGACTGATCCAGAATCCTGAGGGACAGCATGATGATAATCTGACTCTGTATCACAGGTTAGCGAAAACTTACAGTTGCTATGTGGCACTGAATAAATCTATCCTCCAGTGACCCTGTCCTGCATTATGCTGACAAGGGCATGACGTAAAAGATGAGCTGAGCAGAGCCGCAGGTTGTGTGGTCGCCACAGCCCCTCACTGAGGCTGAAAGTTTTCAGATATGTACAACCATAAGTCTGCATTTCTACTACCCCCATGTCACCCATACCAGCATAATTAGGCTTGAAAAGTTTGATTCCATGTACTAGTAATAGTTCTTGGGTCCCTGCCATTTACTCCAGGCATTTCATATCATGATGGTGGGGGGAAAAGGCCTACAGATAACAGCTCAGAAGAACAAGACTAGACCTTCACTGTGTCCATGGAAGATCTGGAAGAAGGAAACAGCAAAACTTAGTGACCCACAAACCCAATAAATAAATCCGCTTTAGAAGGCTTTCTTCTCTAGCTGGTCCAGAATGGCCTGGATCCTCTGTACAGCCTCCCTTCGGAATTGCCGGACGCTCTCCTGTCCCTGAGTCTCCACAGAGTCCAGCTCCAGCAGCTCTTTGGTCAGCAGTTCCTCCAGACACCGGTAACTCTTGTCTGTCTTTTTGCCGACAAACTCATCAACGTCTTCCTGAAGCAGCAGCACCCTGGCCATGACCTGCTGGACCTTAGCAAGGCCAGGGTTGTCGCTCAGGGGCTGAAGTCCAGCTGGGCCTGGAGCTGGAGCTTGTGAGGGCGGGGGGTCCCCTTGTGAGGGTTTAAGTTCCCCTCTCCCTGTTTTGTTGTACATTTGAGGAGGTGAACTTATTTCTGCAGGCTTTCCGTTGGGGGGATTCTGGGATGGGGTTGGCCTGGGTTTAGGTCCCACTTGTGGTGCACGCTGGTGCAGTTGGTCCTAACGCGACACAAAACAAAAGATTGTGCTTAAGAAATTTCATAATCCTCAAACTTTATAACTAAGGTTGCTTTCATGCATGCAGTCTGGACTATTTCCTGGAATTTTCCAGAGGGGATGTTTCTGAGCCCATGTGAGAATACAACAGGAAAATGTCATTGTTAGCAAGATCAGACGAGTCTCCATATTTATAGATAATAGTATAAAGATCGCAACAAGTGTAATGTTTAATTTGACTTTATATAAATGTACAAAACATTATTCCACTCTATTTTATATCAGCCTCTCCTTCCATTTAACTCAATTAACAAAACAAAAACATGACAGCCACAGTGAAAAAGCTGCAGACACAAACCTTGGGTTGGTATGGGGGCGGAGCGCCTGTTCCAGTCCCCGGCCATGCTGGAGGATGTGGTGGACGGACGTGACTTCCATAGTGGTTTTGTGGAGGCTGCTGGCCTGGCTGCCATTGCTGCTGTGAGTGTCCATATGCACCAGAGTGTGCCCATGCGTCAGCCTGAGGATTGGGATGGAGAGACTGGCCTGTGGGATATGGGGAGTTTTGAGGCATTGCATGTCCACCTTCAGTATAGTGAGGGTACGGTCCAGGAGGATATCCAGGTGTCTGAGAGCAGAGACAGAACAGGTATGTAGTATTTTCAAAATGACTTTGTTTCCTCTAGGTGTAATTTTGGTTTGGAGAAAATAAACAAGCCAATTACTTTTTACCACATTAATTAGTCCACGGATACACAGTCAGAGAAACGTAATGTTACTTTTGGCACCTCCCTTGCTACTTGTGTTTAAATGAACTCACCCCTTGACAGTGTGGACCAGCATAGTGATGATGTTGGTGTTGAGCGTGGGGCTGCCCAGACGGCCCACTGCCCTGCTCTGCTGGACAGCCCTGGTTAGGATAAGGACTTGGAGCTGGTCTCTGAGGGTCAGCACAGTAGAAAGGGTTGGACGGGTGGAAACCACTTGTTGAATACTGACTCTGCTGTGGGCTGTAGACACCATGGCCGTTTGGATAACCTCCAGGCATCACCTAAATGAAAAGCATGTGAGGAGAGAATTAATAAAGACTGTACTATTCAGACTATTGACCTGATTCTGAATAAGACATCATTTTGATGACTAGTCTAAGTCCCTATATCAAATATGCCTATTTGGACTTGGCTGTTTGCTTTGCCTATAGTGACCTGCAGTAATTGCGCCACAGCAAATAAAGAGCGACTGCAGGACTCAGCCTGCAGAACCTTGAACTGTAGTTTGAGTTTTCGTTCCTGATGTTGTGAACATACTGTTGTTATGATGGACACTGTTACATGGATGAGTCCCAGCCTAAAATCCCATTAATGTTACAGAGCGTAGTCCATTCATGACTCATGCCTACATTACTTGCTTCTCCTTGTTCACACTCAAAGGCAGGGCATGGGTCATCTCATCAGGTTGATGTTGCAAAATGCTTTGTGATTAAGACGTAAATGATCTTTATCTATATACAGTCTATGTACAGTTTTGCCACTCACACACACATTCATACAAAATGCTGTTTACATGGCAGTGTCCCGTTCAAACTGTTGTTTTAATCAGGTTAATATGAGAACACTAGTAAACGTGTGTAGTGATGTAACAAGTCGAGCTGAGGGAAAGGTGAGGGCACTTAGGAGACTTAAGCTAATGCGTAGATGTATTCTAGGCGCAGGTTGGGTTACAGCATGAGCTTCACCTGTGGGTTGTACTGGGGCTGAACCTCTGATCCCGACGGATAGGTGTTTGCATAGTGTCCTGTGGAATGAGACTGAGGATACCAGTAGTGGGATGGGTAGCCTGGGTACTGAGGAGCGTCCTGTGAACACAGAGCATCGCAGAGAGAGGGTTGGACTAGTTATTCAAAGAAGAGGACTGTTTAAAGCAGCAGGGATTCTATCTGATCTGTGTTTCCTGGTGCAAGCTGGCACACAGGAAACTGTAAAACATTCACAAACTGAGTAAACAGTGGCACTGATTCATTCATGACTCGCTCAGGCAGTTTGGGCTAAAGCAGATAAAAACCTGTGCAGCTAACCACAGCGAGGGCCGTGTGGAACAACAGAGGGAAGACAGAAGACAGCCCGCTGCTAAAACAAGCCGTGTGTGTTTTACAACCACCGAGACACTTGTCGGGCCATCAGCGCTGTTGTCACGTCAGGATAAACGTGACAAACTCGGGCAACAGGGCAACGGCAACTATTATATAATGCCAGCTAGCTCCGTTAGCTGTCGGGCTAGCACGGACAAACACGGACAAACACGGAAGCTAGCTGGGTAAAGAAATGCATTTGTGTACAAACTCGGGTCATTTTTATTTGAATTAAACACAGCGATCACACCTTGGGGGGGTTATCTCGCCCGTGTCCTCTCACTCACCATTGTGTTATTCCAGTTATGGTTTCCCGAGTCACCAGTCGAGGGCCAGCCAGACTTCAGATCCGACTGCGTCTGATGATGATGCATCGGCTAAGCGCGCTCCGTCCTGTCACCTGCCATAGCACAAACAAACCCTGACTCTTGTCACTTCTCTGCGCAGACTCTGGGTCTGTCCTGTTCACACCGGCGGTGTTTTGTTCTCCACACGGGCGCCGATCGCTTGATTGCAATCAGGAAATGATTGAATGACGCCAGGAGCTCGGAAAACTAGCTGCCCTCTCTTTAAGGAGCCACACGAGCCAGAGAGAGGAGGTCTCACTCTGTCGCTATTTTCACGGCACTGAAAACATCTGAGGAGTAAGAGGCGCCAGGTCGTGCTGCCATTTTGTTGCTCACACTGCACAGACAAAACATGATGCACTGACTTATTATACGTAGGTTATAAAGCGTGCGTGTGTAATGGTATCATTTTTGATGATTTATGACGACACAAGCAAGTTGCCTCGCTCTTCTGACGCGGTCACTGTCTCCTGTTCATAGATGATCTCTGGTGCCGCATGTGCGTCACTACATGCTAATAGCCAATAGGAAAAACGTCGTTCATTTATAATATTTCCGCAATAAAAACTAATAATCTCGCATTCTGAACTATTCTTCTTTTGTGTCACATCTATTTAGACGTTTATTTTCAAACCGGGTTCAGTAAAAGTTCACGAACAGGAAGTTTTTCCAGCGCGCACAGGGTTAAACGTGGACCGGAAGTGTATCCCAGGCTTCTATAAAGACACTTCCGGCGCTGTTGTTGAAAGAAACACACTTTGAAACATTCATGGCTTAAAGTCACACAGAGACACCACGACGCAGACAAACAGCAGCACAAGATGAACTACGTACCGGGGACGGCCAGCCTCATAGACGACATCGACAGTGAGTAGCAGAGGAAGGAGGAACCAGAGCTGCTTCACTGAGGAAGTGGTTTCTGTGGCATCGTGTCTGACTCTGGATCAGCCGTGTGTCCATACTAATAATAAACATGTCTGTGTCCTGCAGAGAAGCACCTGGTGCTGCTCAGAGATGGGAGGACACTGATCGGGTTCCTTAGAAGCATTGATCAGTTTGGTACTTGTCGTTTTTTTTTTTATCTCCCACTTGTTTCTCCTCATCGCCAGAACACAAATCAGCTACACCTTCTACGTGTGCATCTGGTCATCACCATCTGATGTTTGGTTTTTTTGTGTCTTAAACTCATCTGTATTTCTCTTGTCTCCCGCAGCCAATTTAGTTTTCCACCAGACAGTTGAGCGCATCCACGTGGGAAAGAAATTTGGTGACATCCCGAGAGGAATATTCATAGTTAGAGGAGAGAATGTGGTCCTGCTGGGAGAGATAGTAAGTGTGTCTGTCTATAGTTGTGTGCTCCAATTCTGGTCAAATACAATAACTGTGAGGACAAAGACTTGTTTTCTGGTTAGAATTAGGTGTAGGGTTAGGCATTTAGTTGTGATGGTTAGGATCTGGGGAATGCATGTCTGAGTGCCCTCACAACTATAGAGGCATGTGTCTGTGTGTCCACAGCCTTCACTCAGGTGCTAATATCAGACTCTAAACTCGAAGGTACAGTGTGTAGAATGTTGTGATATCTAGTGAACACCCCTCACCTCACCCTCTCCTTCCAAACATTAAAAAGAACCTGTGGTAGCCTTTAATTGTCATAAAAACTCAAAAGATGTTTAGTTTGTCCAGTCTGGACTAATGTAAAAAAACATGGCGGCCTCTATAGAGAGGGTCCCCTCGATGTAAATATAAAGTATTTAAATATAAAGGGCCTTTTCTGGGGTAAAGAAAACTACATTTCATACAATTTAGATGAAATAACTAGTGAAAACATGAGGATTATTCTACATTAAGTTTCTGCCAATAGTTCCCTTTCACCGAAATCTTTCACACTGGACCTATAACAAAAATAATAAATAATCTGATGATTATCAACATGGACTGATATGAATAGATTTTTAAATAATTTTGGCCATATTGTCCAGCCATAGAATATGGTGAGTAATTACCTCTACTGTACTATCAGTCATGTTGTTGTCATTCACAGGTCACAGTAAGTTCATAATACTGAGTCTTGAAGAGTCTTGAATGTGTGTTAAAGAGTGCACAGAAATTTTAAGTCCTACAATTATGCTTTTGATTATACTTCTGATATTATTATTATTATTGTTTGTTAGGAGGATTACGCAAATACTACTCCACTGATTTCCAAGAAATGTTGTGGAGAGACAGGGCATAACCCAAGGGAGAGTCTATTATTTTTGATGCAGATCTGGATCAGGAGGCAGATCCAGGACTTTCATGGATGTTGATGGACACCATCAGGCATGTTTAGGGGACTGATATTCAGGAGTGTGTAAAATTTGTTGCAGATCCAAATAAAAATTCACTTGATCCAAATAAAAAAAATGGACCTAGTGAATTTAAATTTGGTTTCATAAAGGAACTGTTGGGCCTTGGCAGAGGTAGGCTCTGCTTAGTGTCATTCTGCTGCAGTTAATGACTGAGGAAAGCTCATATGAGGTCTAATTAATTCTATCTTGAGTTTATCTATAAAATGCTGAACATATAGCACAGTTAAAGGTATGTGAAACCTATTGATTAACCACTTACACACTCTCTCATCACAATAAAAACACAATTTAAGCCCATAGATTTGATTTTTGTCATATGTGCATGAATTGAAGCTGGCATGTTGCAGGCACATTTAAGTGACGGTGTAGAACCTTCAGCCAACACAAAACATGACTCGTAAACTAAGTAACTACATGTAACTGTAAACGTACACCAAGCAGCAGAGTATAGTATTTAATGTTATGCAAGGATGAAATGCAAAGAAGTTGCAGGTATCAAAGAATGGGAGAATGTGATACACGTGTAGCACAGACAAAGCATCAGTGCACTGCTCAGTGCTTCAGAGGATCTACTGGGCTTTTCAAGGGAATTGAGTCTGTAAGCAGGGAGAGCAGCGCAGGTTTGTTTTAAAATGTCATTATAGTGAGATGTTGAATGATCAGGTCAAGAGTGACAAGTCTATATCCACAGGACACTATTTGAATACTGTATGTTGGAAAGGTCCTTGTGATAAAACCCCAAAAGGAAGTTTCCATGAGAATTTGAACAGGCCACAACACTTAGGTCACTACTAATACCATTACTGTGTCCTAAACAGTATAAATGAACAGCAGATCAACACATAAAACAGTTTGTGTACTACCTCACTAGATGTACCTCACATAATTAAGTGTATTTGTGGTTAATGTCCATAATATTTTGTGAGTTTGTTACAAGCCTTGAGGAGGTGTGACATGGTCTGTGTCTCTGCAGGATGTGGATAAACCCTGCGACACAGTCCTGCAGCAGGTTTCCATCGAGGAGATTTTGGAGGAGCAGCGGTTGCAGCAACAAGCCAAACAGGAGACGGAGAAAGTCAAAATGCAGGTCCTGAAGGACCGAGGCCTTTCCGTACCCAAAGCTGACAACTTGGACGAATATTAACAGCCTCTTTGTTTCTTTTTTTTTTTTCACGAGCCAGTTTCTCAGTTTGTATGGGACTCATAAGTTTTATTTTGAGAGAGCATGACGGTGTGTTATTTTTTTTTTTATGTGTACATGGCTACATCATGTTGGGCCGAATTCCTGTAGTGTACTGTATGAATTTAATTTGAATCAGTAAGAGGAAAAAGAAAAATGTGTTGGATGCTCTCAGTTTTGCAGATCATGTGGGCAAAACGATAGATCCATGTGTTGGATCACTCTGTTGACAAGTAAGCAATTATTTTACATTTTACAGCAGCACTTTCTATCCATGAAATGGTAAATTTTTGATTTGGAGATCCACAAAAGAAATTCTTGCTGTGCTCCATTAAAGAGTTCAGTTTTTCTTTATGGAGGATCTGCTTGGGAAAAAATTTGTGTCCACATTTTTTTCATCACCGTGTAGCAACATTCAGTTTAACTCACTGTTGTGTTGAATGTTTCACAATCAAAGGCTGTAATATTCAGATAAATGTGTGTCCTCAGCAGACAGTGACCCTGCGTCATCAGGCCGACCACAGAGCTGCAACAAACTTCAGACTGATCCTCATTCATTTATTAGCAGAGAGGACATCATTCATTTTGATTTGATTCAGTTAAGGCAGGAGGCAGATCTGTGCATCATGTCCTGTTTATAGAGATAAGAGTGGGGCAGGAGAAATCAACCCCATCTGCTTTCATCAGTCAATAACAAGCGTGTTAATTGTTTGGTTGGACTCAATGAGTTCATATAAATCAGTCTCTGCTGGGTGGAGGTGATCAGGCCTGTTGGTGATGATGCTGAGCGAAACTCTGCTCACGTGGTACCACCAATATTCAATGCATGTTGGGTTTTTTCACTTTGATCAGTGTTCAGCATCACTGAGATGTCAAGATTTCCTTTGCTAAACTTCAAAATAAAAGTCATGCCTTAGGGAAACTACAGCTGGACCTGGTCCTACATGTCGAGGAATGTATGGGAAGCAGGGCTTGACTATCTTTAACTTTAATCACCCTTAATATATTTTTTATTAAAAATTGAGTTAATCAGATATGTCTAAAATGAATAGTACAAGGTAAAAGTAAAACTCTAATTGTACCCTCAAATAGACATATACAAAACACTTTGTAAGACACAAAGGAAGCACAGTTACATGTTAATGGTAATGTACATTAACATGTAACTGTCAAACTCAGTGACCTGTAGAAAAAATGAAAAAGTCTGTTCCTCTATGTGAGGTTTCTAATCGTTTGTGAAGAAAAAAAAGGCTTCTTAACAGTGTGATCCTCAATTCTGTGAAAAATACAATGGAGCTGCAAATCGATCATATGATTGGAAGAAAATCTGCAACTATTTTGTCACTTTATTGAATTTTCACCAAAAGAAAATCTTGCTTTTTATCAAAAGTGATGAATTTCTGTTCATCCTGTCATCTGATAGCAATTTTAATATTTTGTTATTTTTTCAGATGCATCTGTGAATCTTCTGGATTAAAAAGAAAATTTTCAACATTTCCTGACATAGGGGAACAATCAAGGAAATAAAATAAATTAACCATAATGAAGACTATAATTTTACAAATAGGTTCTTATTAAATATATGTGTGGAAATCTAACCACTAGAGGGCGACTTTACCTAATGCTTATTCCCCACCTTGGCTACCATGTTCACAGAAAGAATGTGCATGTATGTGATTTAACACGACACGAGTCTCACACACATTTATATCTATCAATAATGGAATGAACTGTTTTGCTGCTTGATTAAACTGGAACATCTTTGGTGGATTTTACGCTCATAGTCTTCTGCTGTGTCTATTATAAAGTAGCGGTAGTTTTATTTGCTGCCGCACAACTTCTGGTGGAGTCGCTCGGGTCTGTGGCTTGACGCAGCTGTGCCAGAGAGGCCCTGCCCACTTGGATTACGCACAGACCAGGGAGGGAGGGAGGGTGTGCGCGCTGCCGCTGATGTCCTCTCTCTGGTGCACTCAGCCAACCCCTGCTGTTGTGATGTGAAGCTGGCTGTATCCTGCTGTAAAGAATCCGCTGAGAGGAGCCCCGGTTCTGCAATCGGTGCCTCCAGAAACTTAATGATTCCCCGCATCGGAGAGGTCCAGCACCCGAATTACGCATGGAACGGTTGCGGGGGGATTGGAGTAGAAATGCAGCGCCGCACTTCCAGCCCGCAACAAGAAGAACCATGCCCAGTTTACATTGCAAGCAAATCTATGACATCCTGTTTTATCAGTTACGACTTTGATACCAGTGAGGTTTGCTCGGGTACCGACGAGGAGTGAAGAGGATACGCACGGCACCCAAACTGAAGGACGCTGCTGTTTTTTTCGCACCAGAAAACCGAAATCCCCTGCATTTAAATTTTTTTGATGGAGCTGGAGAACATAGTAGCCAACACTGTACTGCTTAAAGCGAGAGAGGGTAAGTTGACACATAAAGGAGTTGAGTGTAAATAGTGGGTATGTAGGCCTGGCTGTGGCACATTTTGCGCACAGCAGTGTGCAGCAGAAAAGGAGGGAATGGTCGTATAATGATGACCTGCACTGTAGGTAGGAAGCCTGCGGACTGTAGGGCTCAGCACAGCAGGTAAATCCTACACATGCAACGGAAAGAACAAGTCTTGTGCAATAATACTGAAAGGGCCACATCAACACACTGGTCACTGGTCGTCTTGTGATCGAGTTGAACCTGAGATCAGTGGATTATTTTATTCACACTGATTCTGACAGCTCGTCTGCGTTTTCCCACATATGAAAGATTGAGAGAAGGAGAGAGAGAGAGAGAGAGAGAGAGAGGGAGGGAGGTAGGGGTGGGGGGTCTGCCTTCCACATCCGCTTTCGCTGTCTGTGCAAATGAATGCGCTCTTTCGCAATATTATACATGCTGAGGCACACACACAGGAGCAGGGGATAACTTCTGTCTGGAGAGGGGGGGATGAACGAGCTGGCACATGAAGGTTGATTCTGGTGACGTGACTGCTGTGCATGGGGCCTGCACAGAGACAGACTGTGGCTCCACCAGTGATATACTAATGTGTGAGAAAAAGGCCCAATCATTCATGTCTGACAATAGAGTGTAATATAAGGTATATCGTGTCATTAATGGCTGTGTGTGATTGCTTTAGGGGGGTGGGGTTGTGCAAAGGGCATGAGGAAGGCCTGCAGGTAAACATCATGCAATCTGACTCCATGATTGTCTCGCATGAATGGGAATCATTCACTGTGGGTTGTGCAGCCTCTTCAATTTCACTTTTGAGGGATTGTCAGCAGTTTGGTGATGCATTAAAAATGAAACGGTAACTGTCACCTCAAGCAAAGCTGTTTCATGTTTGCATGAACCAGGCTGTAAAAAAATGATCAGATGTGTTCCCAGCAGTAGAACACTAGGGCCTTTCTAAATCAGTGGCCATAAAGGGGCCATCATTTACATAGAGAGGCCAATTATATGTTCAACATACATTGGCAATTCCTGATTCAGTAAGCTGCACATTTAAGTCATTCCTTTAGTGTTAGCTAGTTAACTTCACACACATCATTGAATTTATTTTCAAAATTGCTCCTCGTTCAAGCAAGTTGTGCACTTCGTGAAAAGCTTAGTTATTATTGTTACTAAGTGACTAGGTTTTTTAAAAACTACTGCCCTGCCCCTGGATCCACATCGGGATATCCCCTTATATTAAGTTAACTGCAAACTATCCAGGGGAAGAAAAATAAGATGACAAAAATAGTCATCTAATTTCCCTCTTAACAGAGAAAATGCTCATCTAGGAGTGAAAGGGCTTTTTTTTAATGTGACCCAGTAAGAACAACATCCCAGCATTTGTTCTTCTTTGAAACTCTGTGCTGCATTCTTAAATCTTTTTTAGTCTTTAAAGTCTAAGGGACTCAGTTTTGTGCCGTATCAAACATGCACACACGCTCTCTCATAAGTGCATACAAGAGTTTCGTTGCATGCAGCATGTGGTTTCATATGGCAACCGTCTCTGTGGAGTTGCAAGGTGACGCAGAAGAAGACAGAGCGCTGCTGGCACACTGTTCCATTTATCTCCCAACGATGACATGTTCGGAGTGTACACAGAGGGCAGAGAGAGTTCCATGGGAAATAATGGGATAATCAAGTGAAACAGGAAGCTGACATGCTGTCAAAACCCTTTTCCGTAGGATGCATTTTGCCTTCGCATCAGCCTGGACATTTGTTTCGTGGGAGCAGAGCACGACGGGTCGGGTGAATTAAGCTTCATGAATTAATAAGAGCAGTTAATGACCCATGACAGATCTTGCTTGTCCCCAGCTGCTCCATTGGTGCTCATCCAGCCCCGGCCCCGACTGTGTGGGAGAGTGAAAGGCCTTTTTACAGTTTCACATTAAGGCATGAGATGGTTCTTTGAGTTAATAGCTGAAGGACGACTTTCACCGCAGTTTGATCAATGGCCCCTGCGATTGCAGCCACGTGAGACTGATTCAACAGTTGAGTTTAGGTCCATTGCAGTTTGCACATTGAAATATGTCACAGCGTGTGAGCGTGTTCCTGGTCATGTTCGTTAACTGTCTGAATCATGGGAGGTTTTATCTCGCAGTGCCCAGTGCCAAAGGCTGCACACATCCCTGGTGCTTGCTCGTCCATGTCTCGCTCATGTGAATGACAGAGTACAGTATACACAGGGGATCATTTTAGGTCACATAGCAGCAACAGTGGGAGAATGTGAATGGAGCTAAACAAGAGTGTTTATTCCTGTTTGTTTATGCGAGTGTACCCTGAGTCCCAGCTGAACCGAATCCTGAATCTTCTGTCCAGACGCACGACAGGAAGGCCCGGCTTACACTGCGCTCTTTGCCTTGTTAATGTCGACACCTCCCAAATCAGTAAAACAGTGTGAGTGCCGGTGAGGTGTAGAAATAAAAAGCTTTTGATACCACGATGCCAGGAGCAGTGAAACCAGCCTTGAGTCTCCATTTCGTCGCTCTTTGGCTCTTCTGTGTGAGCAGTGACTGATCTGGGTTTAATTTTAGACATAGAAGGTTAAAATCAGCCTGATGTTGGATGGAAAAAAAAAACTCAGAGCAGGGGCAGATCCTGGGGTTAGGCCAGGGATGCAATAGCCCCATTTAAATTCTGATTGGCCCATATCCTGTCAATAGTCTTTTTTTTTTAAATAAACTAATTCCTTAGTGACATTAGTATTATACAAAAAGTTCAAATTATATTTGATGATGTGCAGCTTTGCTCAAAGCTTTAAAGCTAACATTGAATTAGGAAGGAATTAAATGTGAATTAAAACCTGTTTTGGACCAACCATTTTGCTGTTTCATGATAATCACAGAGTATAAAATATCCACATTTTGATTTCCATAGAAAAGAAAAAATGGTCAGCTCTGACCATACTGAACCATCCGTTGAAGTGGCCGTTATCTTACATAAAGTCAAATGCTATTATACACCATCAGTCAGATGCAGCCCATAAGCTATTTAATCAAATTGATTGTTACATAACAAACTGAGTGGGCCACTGCCATCCCAGCTCCATCTTCCTGTGGAGCCGCTCTCCGCTCTCTGCGGTAGATACTTTATGGATGTTGAGTGTGTGGTGAAATGAAACACCCCGATCTCCAGCGTGTGGTCATCTGAGTATCACCTGACAGCTGCAGTGGCGTTCACCATGTCAGAGCAGCAGGAAGTGCCGATGTGCTTTGCTGTTTCTGTGATGCTGGTCAGCTGAGGAAATTTTGGGGTCACAGCAGATCAAGAAGAATTTCTGGAAACTTACTCAGGCTTAGACATGGATTTTATTTGTCAGTGGCAGTTGTTTTTAATGTTAGCTGGCACACAGGTAAACTGAGTGTGCAGGTCTAATACCAGGGAAAGTGTAGATTTATGTGTGCGTTACCAGATGAGGGGAGTGGGGCTGAATTCCTTTGTGTAAATGTAACCTGAACTCGGCTGCTCTGACGAGAGCAACATCAGTGCAGTAGGCCCTGAGCTTGTGTGCGTGTGTGTCCGTGCCTCTTCCTGACTCCCCATTCACAAGTCTTGTTGGCCGCAGTCGAAGATTCCAAGCCACGCGAGTGAACGTCATCGGCTGTCCAAGTGAATGAGAGCAAGGGGGAAAAACTGCATCGCTGCATCCAGATGCCGTTCTTGAATTGCGGTAGCAGAGCCAGGGTATTTAGTTCAGGCCTGCGAAGATGAGTTCCACTCTGCTGTCTGCTGCCTTTGTCATTTGGTGCAGTCGTGTGATTTTGGTCGTCTTTACATAAGTAAATAATCAAATGCGAATCATTAGAAATTCAGTAGAGTGTTCACACAGTGGAGCCACTCCAGTAAAAACTCATCTCCAGGGTAAAACGGCCTGAGTATTTACTCTGATTAGTTTATTTTCAAGTAACTAAGGAGGGACATGATGAGAACATAGCAACTGTTCTCGCAATTTGTTTAGCTTCTTTTTTCCATTCTCAAACAACAGATTTAAATACGTCATTAGTCCTGAGAACCAGACTTACTCAGAAAGTGGAAGAATGTTACAGCATTGACATTAATGGTACATTTATTTGTTTGCAGCCTACAGAGAAATCGCTTGAATGAATCAGGGACCTCACTTGACAGTATATTTAAATGCATGTTTGAAAACTAAAAAATGATTTTGAGCTGCAATGATGAGTCAACTAATCGATTTATTTACTGAAATAAGATGAATCTACATTGACAATTGTCTAACTAAAGTCATAAATGCCACTTAGTAGGGTGCATACCTCCACCAAGGCCCAACAGTCCCCTTAAATTAAATCAAATTGCAGACACTCATAGAGATCAATCCTCTAAATATGTCGTTTTTCCATCAAAATCCATGAATTATTCTCTGACAAATCAACGATAATGTTGAAGAACGTGAAAAAAGAAAATCCTGGATCTGCCCCAGATTTTAATGAGTTCATCCCTGACAAACTTCCAACAAGTTTCATGGACAAATCTGTTTGTTTACGTATGTATGTCTTTCTTACAAACATACGGACAGGGGTGAAAACATAACCTCATCGGCAGAGGTAAATATAGGACTAGTCTGCTAAAGAGCAAGAAGGAGAATCCAAAGGGTCATTCAATCAGTATCCAAAATGGTGGATTCACAGTCACTCACAGTCTGTGAAGTCATTCAAACACTGGTCCCAGATTCTAGTTGCAACAAGCCCTGATTGGATTCTGTTGTGTTGAAAAACATCCCTATATTTTTTTTTGTTCTACCCCATTTCATTCTCAGGAGGATATTTTGATTAGTGCAAACAATACAGCTTATTCGTCAATACAAGATGCCATGCATGAGACAAGATAAGCTGAGATAACAAACATGAGGCATTTGTCTGTAGAAGCGATCTGTGCGGGCTTCAGTCATACGCCAGCAGGAGGGAGTGAGGGGTGGGGGTGTCGCTTCC